TTGACGTCATTACATATCTCTCTTTTCTTTTACACATATTCCTATATGATTACATCATGAACTCATTCTCTTTCTCTCTCTTTCTCTCTCTCTCCTCTCTTTCATTCATCTTAACCGATATATCTTCTCATTGATCCGAACGTCCATTTCGATTGTAACACATTTTCTTGCATACATTTGAAAAGAGCGCCTTGTCTTCGGGTTAATCAATGGCTATCCGTGCAGTACTAATATTGCACTTTTCACATATCCAATCAATTGTAGTTTCACGGTAAGGTAAGGAAGCGTGAAATTGCAGTCCACTTACAATGCATCCTACATGCCATTTTCACACATCATTTCGATGTGCATTCTTTATCATGCACTTTTGTTTTTTTTTTAGCCATTCCAAGATGCCATTACAATCATTTCTCTTTTTCTCTCTCTCTACCCTATCTCCGTTATGATTTACCCAATTATCTCCCCTTTCTCTTTCTATTACATCATTTAATTTACATAATCCTTTCTCTCTCTCTCTCTCTCTCTCTCTCTCTCATATCATATAATCAAGCAATCAGTAAATTAGATGACGTGCGATTATGCGTGTACAAAATCATAGGAAATGGCGTGTAGAAATGATTAAATTTAGTTATCATTAAAATTTGAATATTTTGTTTCCAAATATTTAGTGCTGTTTTACATGTAGTTGAAAGTGTCACCATTAAATGAAAAGATAAGCGAATTTTTCCCTTATTATCTTCAACTCGAAAATTCTCCAAACAATTTTCTTTTATAATTAACTGAAATGTCTTCCTTTATCATCTCTTCTCCGACTCATCGACGATGGTTATTAATAATGATCTGACCTCTTAATCTATTTTACTCGTCCATCAACCTTCCTTATCTATGCCTATCTAATCTAATTGTCAATCATTATCCAAGCTTTTCTATTCTCTCTCGTACTAGCTGAAAGGGTCAATCATAACTATCTATCATTTAGGTAGGATTTGTTTATTAAAATTTTGACAATGGAAAAGAGATAATTGTACTGTTTGTAATACAATTGTATGCCGAAATCCTTTCCGAACTTTCTCTCTTACCAATGAATAGATTTTTTAAATAGCACTCTCCCTTGCCCTCTCTCCTGGCTAAATTTGATAACCGTCAAGTTTAATTTAGTGAGATGAAGAAACGGCACTGCAAAATTTGGGAGGTCATCACCAATAGGTAAAATAACAGAAGAATGTCAACATTTGAACTGTGCAAATTTTTTTCTGAAGATGGATATCACTGTTATGAATTTTTGTAAAGAGTTAAAAATATAAAACTTTGTAAAACTACGTCACGAAATGTTACAATAAGCAAATCAATTTATTGATTTTGTTTGCATTATAAAATGTTGTTTGAGAAAGAAATGTGATTTATCGGTTTTGATGGAATTTGAATGAAACGATCCATCTTATTCAGATTATTGTTTGAAAACAAAATTTAACATTTCTTCCTTTTTTTTCAATTATTCAAACATATAAATTTCCTTCAAAGATCACACAAATTCATTCCAAATCTCTTTCCATCTTATCCAACATTCCATCTCACGTACTGCCACGTGTATACGTCAGATATTGTTTTCTTGTTTCTATAGCAAATGTCATCATTATACTTTTCTCATTAATTTTGGTTTCTTATCAGAAATTATTTATCCTTTTGATAATGCTGTTATTATTATTATTTGAGAAATGAAATCGTAAGAAAGTATAATTATGCTGAGGTCATTGTATCAGCCAATCATATATGAACACATATACCGGAAATGATGGGTCAAAATATCCTATATCGTTTATTCTCTTCAACATATGTGTACTATAGTACTGTCTGCTCTCTTCAACATTTGTCTTCTACACCATCGTCTGTTCCCTCCTACACATTCTACAGTATTGTAACCTCTCCACTTGACTTTGATATTATCCAAATTTCCCATCTAAAGTTTCTGCTTATGATCAAATCAGATCAGATTATGTGATGTTATTCTTACACATATATTTTTGATATTTCAAAATAGGAAAATCTAAAAGCGTAGGCTAAATGCTTCATATATTCCATATGCTATTATCAAGATAACAAGCTATATTCAATTAATTTTATAACCAATTGCTAACAAAATACTGATATTACGGGGAAGGAAAGATAGCCGATAGAGAAATGAAATGAAATTATGGAAATTGCTAGAAGTGCAATTCATTCTCAACTGAGGACAGTTCAAAATTGTCCATTCTTTTTTTATATTTCAATGACTGTCAAATGGAAATGCTCTCTTATTTTGTCTGTTAAACATGCATCAGTTAAGGAGGATATTTTCACAATTGTCAAAAAGTGATATTTAATTATATGAAGCAAGAGCATATGGAAGTCATATGAGCTTTTAGCTTCCAATAACTATTGTCCAAATTTAACTACATGCTAGTTAGTAATATTTCAATTTTTCAATTCTTTTCAGATACAATCTTTCTGCTCTTAGGATTTTTTTAAATTGTGTAATGGAAAATAGATATGCTTGTTGAATATTTTCCGTATCATCTGTTCCCAATTCACATCATCATAAAAACCCTCAACCACATGTTTCCAATTTAACTGTTAGTAACCGTTCCATAAGTTTCTTTTTCTTCATCTTTTTTGCCTTTTTCAAACTTTTTCAAGCATAATTTTTCTTCCATCTCATCATCTTTTGAAATAAGTTAGTCATAAATGACACAATTCAATTCTTTTAATACTTTTCGCATTTCATAAATTAGTAATGTAATCATTTACGTAAAATATGCTAATAATAAATAATGGAAATTCCTGTAAGCTCTCTTCTTCGCTTAGCGATGTAAATTCATCATCCATTTCATCGTAACTTCATACATTCTTACTCGTTTTAAAATTCACTTGAAAAAGTTAAAGATCAACGACATTCGTTCTCATTGATATCGTTGAGGCAAAAATTTTCCACTATTCTCATTCTTCAAGGACGTATTAATAGTTGAATATTTTAACACTGTTTTGTACTTTTTTCATTTTCCATTGTTCTGTCATAAACTTCCCCGAACAAATTGAACTGATTTCAGAAGACAACTTGTCAGTTCTTTCATTGCTAATCTCATTTTTTCTTCATCTCAAAAATCAAAACAAAAGTGATTTAAAGCCGAAAAAATTCAAAATTTTCAATTCAATGAGCAAATGAAAGCATCTGAAAAGTAGTAATCCGATCATCATTTTATTACATTTCTTGAATTTTGATATTAACGTTTTTCGTTTTATTTATGGTTAACAAAACTATCACTTACAAATTATCAAATTATTAGTTATACGAAACTATCTTATTTTAGGAATTCTAAATTTTTCATTCTTGATGAAAAGGCCTTTTTCTATGTGATTGTACAATAACTTTAATGAATAGAATATATGCTTTTTACTTTTTTAAATAATTAGTTTTAGAGTGGAAAAAAGCTAACTTTTAATAATTGAGGGAAAGTCAAGTTAGTCTATGAAACATTTCTCTACTTTATACCATAAAATAATTATTTAAATGATATTCTTTTCTTGTTCCACTTTCCTTTTTCTGAAAAGAGAAATGCAACTTCAATGCATATACAGTTTTCAGGCAAATATTAAAACATTATTATGACTTCAGCTAAAGTTCAATTAATTTTCGTTTTTTTCAACATAAATTGCTTTATTATGAAATGATCAAAAAGAAATATTTCGTATTGTGAACACGCAATCATATTGAATAAAAACGTAAACATCACGTGTTTACGTGTTCCTTTTCCCTTTCATTCTTACAGAAATGAAATTAGTTTTAATAAATTTTCCACGACCATAACTTATTGATGATGCATTGAAGAACAGAACTTATCTTTATTTCATCATTTCATTTATTTAATTATTTATTGAGGGTATAGATGAAGTCTTTTTTAACTAAATATCTTTTATTTTATTCAAATATTTAGCATATAAATATTACCTTATTAATTACTTTAATAAGTTGTTAAAGAAAATTTAAATTACTGTTTTCTTCTTCTTCGTCTTCGCTGTCTTCTGTAATTTTTTAATTTTGCAATTTTTCTGTTATTGATCATAGATATTTGTTGTGCGCTTTAGATCTTTCGATGGCAAGTAATTTTGACAATAGTAAATATTTTACAATAATATGCAAAAAATCAATTTTTTTAAATATAACAACTATTTGAAATGAAAACTATCAAAAAAGAAGTAATACGAAGTTGGTTTAAATTATATTTATACAGATTATCATATAACAGATAGTGTATGCTTATCAATAGATCTTTTTTTGGTCACCTTTGAACAAAAATCTCTATTACAGATAATGTTGTCGTTATTATTATCATTATTATTACCTTTCTGTGTGTTTTTCTTTTAATTCATTATTGAATTAAATTTTCGTTGCAATTTCGTAAATTTTTCTGAATGCAGTAACATTTTCAATTTCTGGACTCAATTTTCATAAATTTTCTTTTCTTTTTAAATTTCACTCTACGTAATTTCCTTTTAAATGATATACAATTTCTCTCTACTTCCTTACAATAGTATTTCTTCTCCTCATTTCAAATATGTCCCAAATATTTTCATATTATGAATCATTACAATACTATTCTTCTGTGGTCGTAATCAATAATTCATTGATTAGCTATAGCATAAATATAAGTCCATGCTTTTCATTGTTCACCTTCGTAGTTAGTAGTAATAGTTGTTATTGGTTGTTGGGTGATACTTTTATACCTTTCGTTTTATTGAATTTTATTTTTTGCTTATTCAATAGATTGAAGTCAATTTTAATGCATGCATATTTTTGTCGAAAAATGTGTGGTATGTTGCTTATTAGTTATATTTTTTCTTTTTCAGACAGGAACACTTATTTCCTAAAGCTTACAACTTTGTTTGAAAGTTAGATTTATTTTGCTGCTTCTTTTTTCATTTTAATTTATTTTTTTAACTTAAAATTGAATCGAAACAAAACAAAAATGCTTTTGGAGCTAGCTAGTTCATTTGCCAATCGATTTGCAACCAAGGGATATGGTATTTTTGAAAGTGGTGACGCGAGACTTCCCATAAGTGATCGTGATTTGGAGAATCGACGTCAAGTATGTTTCCGGCTCAACTTCATCGAAATTCAACTTTGTAGAAAGTATTTTTTGTAAATTTCTCAATTGAAATTTCATTGAAATATTGTCATTTTCGCTAATAATATTTTTAGATCGATGAAATCTGTCGTCCTCTAATGATCAGTGATAACAATTTAAAGCGAGTGATGAGCGAATTGCTTAAAGCAATGGAGAAAGGCCTGAATCGCAAATCTGGTTTTTATTTCTTTCTCTAATTTTTGCATTTGAAATTTGGTAGGCATGAAGGAAGATGAACGTGGAAGGTATCAATGTCCAAAAGTTTTAAAATTGTAACGGGCCTTAACTGAATATGAAGACAGTTGTGATGGTAATTATTCATGTCAAAATCTCTTTTTATGTAACAGATTTTTAGATTAAAATATGCTATGATTTTACACGTTGAGTGTCACGTGATACATGTTGGATTGATGTAATTGCACGTTTGTGATGGAAGATATTTTACATTTACTTTATTATTTTGCACATATCTTATTAATTTTTAGCATCATTCGCAGCAGTGAAAATGTTGCCTTCCTTTGTTCGCGCAGTGCCGAATGGTACTGAAGTGGGGAATTTCCTCGCGCTTGATCTTGGCGGCACCAATTTTCGCGTGTTACTGATTAAGTTGGATGGACGAAATGCCGAAATGACCGGGACGATTTTCCGTATACCAGAAAATATCATGCGTGGAACTGGCGAAGGGGTATGTAAATAAAAAAATTCAATTCGATCTGCAAAGTTTTCAAAATATCTTTGTCATTGACTATTTCTCCATCATTTTTTTGCTTTACTAATGTTAAAGCAATGATTTTACAGCTGTTCGATCATATCGCTGAGTGCATGGCCCGTTTCATGGAGGAAAAAAATATGAAGCAAACTGGAAAACTTCCACTTGGTTTCACGTTTTCATTTCCATGTCGACAAGAAAATCTGACGTGTGCGAAACTTATCAACTGGACCAAAGGTTTCAGTGCAAGTGATGTTAAGGATAAGGATGTCGTCACTCTATTACGTGAAGCTTGCAAACGTCGAAAGGTTCAACTTTATGTGTTAACGTGCATTATCTTGAAATTTTTGCAGTCAAGAAATTCATTTTTTTTTCTTATTCACTACTCTAGAAACTATAAGAATTTCAGGACATTGACATTGATGTGGTAGCTGTTCTAAACGATACAGTTGGTACGTTGATGGCTTGCGCATTCAAAGAAAACACATGTCAAATTGGTGTTATCGTCGGTACAGGCACCAATGCATGCTATATGGAAAAAATTGAAAATTGCGATAAAATCAAGTACTTGCAAGAAGATGATATGCCAAATGAGGTATTTTAATTACATTATTTCATTTACTCAGAACAATAATTTTTCGTGAAAGAAGAAAAGGAAACTATACGAAGTGGTGTGTCATATAGGCCTCGTCTATTCCAAAATTAAATTGAACAAACAAAATCGTTATAGTTACGTAATTTTAGATGATCATCAATACTGAATGGGGAGCATTTGGAGATGACGGTACCCTGGAATTTTTGCGTACTCGTTTTGATCGAGAAGTGGATGAGAAGTCGATCAATCCTGGCAAGCAACTGTAAGACTTGCTTATTGTTTTTCATTCTTTATTGCAAACACACATTATATACATATGAGTTTCAAAAAATGATTCTTATAAGTTGGCTTGATTTTTGTCTTTAATAAGACTTGGTGATATCGTCTGATCATATGCACAATCGGTTTGTGGACTGTTACTCTAACGAAGTACTATCACATTTTCTTAGAGTTTCAGTACCTCATGATGCTAACAATTCATTGAAGCAGTGCTTTAGCCTATCATTTGTGAACAATCTCCCTTTCTCCATTAAAAATAGTGTCAAATTTGGTTAAGGTAACAAAATGTTTCAAATTTTCTGACAATATATCGGAGATATCGCATTATACCGCATCTTATTTGTGGACTACTTCCAAGCGAAGAAATTACACTTCCATTGGGTCCTGTCGAGTAATGCGTAGCAAAAAGAGTGTCTTTTTCAGATAGGGTTTTCAATTCTAAAATGTTTTTCGGCATACATTACAGGAGCTTGTGCTTAGTGGACTCGCAGTTAGGCAGGCTCACTGCAGCGGCGAAGCCTGTATTTGTGTGATCTACGGGCAAAAGCATTGCTATCAATTGACGCCGCTGCAAAATTTTTCTGGCTGCGAGTTGCTTTAGACGTACACATACACACACACACACACTGCTTGATTACTTCTTTTCGATACTCTAAAAAAGCAGTGAATGATAAAGGCCGGTAAGGAACAGCAGAATCTTGGTCACAGCACTAATAAATTTTCCAAAAATTACTTGAAAGGAAAAGAAAAGGTTGCTGAAAGGAATTTTAATTTTTTGCCTTTTGAACGAATATTTTTCATGTGGATTGGAATTTCATGCAAGAAAAAGATTTCTCTTTTAATATTTTCAGCACGTTTTTGCATTAAAAGCAAGCAGGCCTTGTTTGATACGTTGTGACCTGTTCTGCAAGTAACGGTTCATTTAAACGGTATAGAAAAATAGTGATTAACAACTGAGATTTACAGATTCGAAAAAATGATCTCGGGTATGTATATGGGCGAAATTGTTCGTGTCATTCTAGCTCATTTGGCACGCGAGAATCTTCTTTTTAACGGCGATTACGAAGCCATTTCAAAGCCACATTCATTCCCGACCAAATTTGTTTCTGAAGTTGAAAAGTATGCTTGTATCAATCTCTTAAAGATTCAAATTTGTCTTTTCTTTGTATCAAACATAAGTAATTCGTACAATTTTAAAGAAATAAAAAATTTGTGATTATTATTCAGCGTTTTTAGGAAAGACATTTCATTACGTGGGAATTTTGTTTTAGAGAAATTTTGGAAGACGAAGAGCGAAATTTCGCAAAAACAATGCAGATTTTGGAAGAAATTGGAACTGAAGAAGTATCAGTTGCTGATTGCATCAGTGTTGCATACGTATGCTCGCTTGTTAGTACACGGTAAATTGCCACTACCTTTGTCTTAATAAGTTAGAAATATAATTTTATTTACATTCAAATTACACTTGAAAGGATTATGATTTTTTTAATCCTTCAATTTATGCATGTATTTTTTATAATATACTCTTTTAAAAGTGAGTATTTCAGAGCTGCATACTTATGTGCTGCTGGCATAGCAACATTGCTCAATCGAATGCAAAAACCGTACGTGACAGTTGGTGTTGACGGTTCAGTATATCGATTTCATCCCACTTTTCCACGCCTGCTTGATGAGAAAATACGGCAGTTGGTTGATAAGAATTTGAAGGTAGCTTCATCTGTATTTTTTCTTTTGAGAGAACCAAACAACACATTGCTAAGATTTGAACATGATTGTTATTAACGAAGTAGTTTTTAGCTAAATTTGCAACTTCTGTTTCTTTCATCTTTCAACTATATAATATGGTAATGGGGGAGGGGGGGAAGAAAAAACATATTATTTGTGGCTTTAAAAAATTTTAGCTTTGCTGCCAGAAATGTCTACCTTTGTATGTCGTTTATATTTCTCTTCGTTTGTATAAATTGCAGTTCTTTTGCAGTATCAGTTGATGCTCTCAGAAGATGGAAGCGGTCGTGGAGCGGCACTAGTAGCGGCAGTTGCATCGCGAATCAGAAGTAAAAGTTGTTCTGAAGCATCTGCTAATTGAGTTTGTGCCGCATATTTTGCTCTGATTTTTACAAATTATGGATTCTAACACTAAGTTTGTTTTGTTTTTTTCTCTACACATTTGTTGAATTTACTGTTAAATTATATAGAATTACTCATTCTAACTCTTGTTTTATTGGATATATTTTTGACCCGTTTTGCAACAGCGGCAAAATTAACAACAGCAGCGGTGAATCCTGAAATCAGTTGTCAAACAATGCGTACTTGTTTCCAGCTTATATAACATTGAACTGTAACTTTCTCTTAATTTCCAAAATCTTCCTTATCAACTATAGTTTCACATCTATGAAAAACTGGATCAATTCATAACTTTCATTTCATCCATATTAATTGCACTATCGACATACTGAAAATAAAATTTTAAAATATTTTGGCGATACCTTAAATATTCAATTTTTTCATCTATAAAAAGTACACGTCTTAAAATGATACTAAAGAAGAGAATTTTAGAGAATGAAATTTTCATACATTTTTTTCGATTTTTCTTCTGCTACAAAAATTTATCTTTTCATAACTTCCAGAATTGAACCAAAACATTGTTTATCGAGCATTCATATTCAACATATAATCAAGTTTTATTTGCATGTTGAAGTTCTACTTTAAATCCAAACCAATATATGCATACATACATTCAAAACATCTCTTTTGCTTCATCATCCATTTTTGAAATGATAAAGTAAATACCGATTCCCATACATACATAATTTATTCTTCATATTTTTTTTCTCAAAAAACAAATGGATTTTGCGAATTCTTCAAATGAAGCCTTAAACGTTTAGTTTATGTAATGCATTTGCGGGAAATATAATTTTCAAAGTGATTCATTAGCAAGAAAATTATAAATTTCTATTTCCAAGTCAAATTTCTACAAATCAAAAAAAATAGTTCTTACAACTCAATGTTACCGAAGAATTTTTCTTTCAATTCATTAGTAGTGTAGCGCATGTTATTTGCTAAACTCTCTACCTATGATTAAAATATATGATTTACCTTTATGGATTTATCGATTGATTGTCATTCAATTGTAAATCATTGAAAAATAGAAAAGGGGAAGAAAGAAGTTAACCATCTTAGTTATTTTAGATTTCATTCGATTGTATCGCATATGCTTGTTTTTTTTTGCTTGTTTTGTTTCATTATTATCCTATTTATTCCTATCCGTTTTTGGTATTTTAATCTCACATATTACAATGATTTATCCATACAACAAAACAATACTTCTATGTTATCAGAGATATTGTTTTCGTCTTCTCTGAAATAATTAAAATTTAAATTGAATTTTTGTTTTTATAACATAACATCTCCCACAATCAATATACTGTTTTCATTGTTTCCTTCTAAATTAGAAGGATAAAGATGAAAATGATAGATTGATTGATTGTAGGAGATATTATGGGAGTTAGGCTGTTTAGTTTCTTTTTATTGCAAAATTTCCAATAGGTTTAAATTTTCTGATATGGTACATTTTACGTGCAATAAAAAAATATTTGATGATCTTTCTTTGGAAGCACTCATAATTTTGTATACATGCGCGGTTATCTTCAGGAATATCTCTCCAGTTTTATATGCAAAAATTTTGCTATCGCTCGATACTATATACGGTCCAATTTAAAAGATCCAAGAATAAAGTGAATGATTGATATACTACCTTGAAGAGTTGAGAGAACTCGGGACTTCTAGTGAAGGACCTCATTCGTTGGGTTTTTTCTTTTAGCTTTACGATCGACTATCTCAATTTGTTCGATATTTGAGAGTAATTCTGAAACAGTGAAGTACTACTGTACGATGAAGCCAAGTAATTTTACATTAGATTAAGGGGAATATTGCGTGGGCAAGCGTTGCGATCGGTGGCCGATGTGTTCAAGGATTTCCATAATATTTATTTGGCTTTGTTTTTTATAATCATCATTGTCTGAATATTACAAATATTGAATACCTGGAATTGCTGGCGTTCTTCAGTATTCTATATTGCTCATCTCAATAATTCAAAATTATCCAACACTGGCCGGGGACTAAAAAAATTTTTTAAATTTCCCTCATTGATGAGCAAGGAATTTTCTTTATATGTTAAGCAGTTATTTGGCCTTTTTTATACTATCGATGATTTTCTGGGTAGCTCATTATTAGCTTAGCTATTCTTCATGGGATGTTCAAGATCCTCTGACATTGTTGTTCATCATCCGTTAAGAAACTGAATCTTTAAAGGTACCCAATCAAAAGGAACGTGATTATTGATCATAAAGAGGACTAATAAAGAATTATAGTCGCCTAATAATCCGTACGAAAGATTCTCTTCCAAAAGGCCATAAATTCTTTTGGTCAAATTATCAGTGTACCATTTTGCATAGTTGTGCTAAGTCTGTAATCAGCCAAGTTAGTTGCTCTTTAGAGCCCAGAGTCAGCGCGGAGTTCGTTGTCCTCCCGAATCTGAAACAAGCCAAGCTTGGTTCTTGAGTCTAAAACCATTCAAGTTGATTACTCTTTCCTGTTTACTGACTCCGTCGGTATAACACCTACGACGACGGATGATGATACTTCGCCAAGCCGGTATATTAGCGTTATCCGCATCTTTCACCAACCGATTTTTTTATTGCGAATATTGCGAATACCTTCAGAACCGGTGAACATTGGACTTTGGACTTTCTCCGCCGTCATATTGTATTTCTTGTTTTTCACTCTAACAGGGGCCGAATGACTACTCTTCGTTCGCCGTCATCTTTTGTTTTCAAATTGATATAAGTTCCTTGGAACATATCTACCGGGAATTACTGGAGTAGAGAAGGTGATGAATGGAATACGATTCTTCTCAGGTCATCTACCAAAAAGATATGATATTCTCGTAAGTTTGATGTTTAACATTGTTTCAGTTTAGTTACATTCATCATTCTCCTTTTTTTCCTAAATAAAAAATATATGAAATTGTAAATTTTCTGAGGAGGAAAAATCTCATAGAAAATTTCAACTTTGAGTAATTCGATGGGTACAGTAACAAGTGATACTTTTGATTACACGTTACTAATGACTTAAGATAGTTACCAATAAAATATATAGGCGGGAAGTTTACTATAGCCAGCATCATGGAAATTGAATTAGAGAGAACCGAGGATTACGCGATATTTAATTTTGTAATTGCTCTCTGTTAAGACCAAATTCAGCGAGAACTTTTCCATCTCAAAAGCAGTTCTACTTTGAAAATTTTTTTTCAAATTTATATTTTCATGAGCCAAACTATGATATTATATATGAGAGAGGGATGAGGATCAAAAACAAAGGTGTTTTCTCAAAATTTTATCAGCCAGTTTAATATAGGTATATTTGTTAATATTTGTATAACAAAAAACCCGTGGATATACTTTTTCATACGTCTGACTATCTACAATCGAAACGTGCGAGATACGTACAGAAGTGTTAAATAATTGCTAAATTCAGCATATGTTAGATCAGAGTATATTAGTTCAGACTTTTTGGGTATAAACACGTGACATATAAAGAGTTTGCGAACTGAGAAATTAAAAAAGTATTTTTCAAAGTATCTTCTTAATTGAGAAATTTAAAATGGTTCAGGATAAGATTTCAGCAAATAGCATTCCGATTCACGAGTACATTGGTGCTAGCTGAACATACCGGTGATAAGCTCAATCCGATAACGTTAAATGCTGTTAACGCTGCTTTAAAATTAGGTGAAATATCGGTACTTGTAGCTGGTACCAATATCACTAACATTGCTGAACAGGTAATTTATTTTTTTTAAGTAATTATTTTTATCTATCTTAACCATATTTTGTTGGTCACAAGTAAACTGACTTTTTAGCACGAGGAGTTTAACTTTAACTTTTTGGCAGAAGTTATGCAATTATTGCGTAGCATTTATGAAATATAAATTTATATAATTACCGCGACATTAATGGATTATGGGGCATTTCGATATATTTTGTCCGTTTTCAATGTTCAAGTTAAATGTTTTGTTGACTAGTGACAAAAAAGAAATATAAAACGCTTGTATAGGTTTTTGAAAAAGTGGTCTGAGTGATTAATTTAAAGTTGAGATGCATTGATAGCACTTATTTTAATTTTTTTTGGATACTGATTTAAATTTTGCAGGTAGCAAAAGTGGAGCAAGTTAAACGAGTATTTATTGCTGACCATGAGAAACTGAAACATCAACTTCCAGGTTGTTTTTCATAATTTGTTTGTTCTAAATTTATATCGTTTAAAAGTCACTTATAAATTTAGTCTTATTTATAAGAATTCAGATTTTTCTACCTAAACGAAAGCTTTTTTTCAGAGTATGTTGCGAAGACTGTAGAAACACTTCAAAAACAATATAAATTTGACTATATAGTAGCAGGAGCTTCAACATTTAGTCGTGATATACTACCAAGAGCCGCCGCTCAATTTGATTCTGCCCCTGTCACCGATATCATTGCTATTCATAATAGTGATACTTTCACGCGACCTATTTATGCTGGGAATGCCTTATGCAAGGTAAAGGTTTTTTTTGATTTAATTACTGATGCCATTAAATTATTGTATGAGTGTAAAATTTATTTAAAATGATGAATTACTATTTTTTTTTACTAGTATCTTCTCTATGATCATATCACTTCCAGATAAAAACCACTGCTCCGGTGAAATTCTTGACTTTCCGAGGAACAGCATTCAAACCAGCCAAAGAATCTGGTGGTAATGGCAAAATTGAAAAGGGTATGTATGTACAAAGTACTAATTCCATTTTTGTAATTGACATGAATTGCTTTTTCTTGATGTTTCCAATTATTTAAAAAAAATGGTGTCAACTAAGACATTTACTCTTGCCTAGGTAATGAGAATGTTTCTTTATTGGGAATTTAGAGAATTTCACGTATTTTTAATAAATTTTATCAGTTTTTAGTACCAGAAGCAGATTTTTCATTCGATGGCGTAGAATTTTTGTCACAAGAATTGCTTAAATCGGAACGACCAGATTTACAAAGTGCAAAAGTGATAGTTTCGGGAGGTCGTGGTGTCGGTTCAGCAGATAATTTTAAAATTATTTATGAATTGGCTGATAAATTGAAAGCAGCAGTAGGTGCGTCACGTGCAGCAGTTGATGCTGGTTACGTTTCGAATGAGTTGCAAGTTGGACAAACTGGCAAAGTTGTTGCGCCGGTAACTTTTTGACTTAAATAAAGTAATCAAATAAGAATTAAATGGATTAGATTTTCATTGTGCATCGGTGCTCAGTTTCAGTTAGGTCTTGCAAAATGACAGTGAAATCCAGACAATCCATCTGATAATCAGTTCTGCTTGTCTATTTTCATTCAAAGCTACTACTTTCACTGTTTACATACAACAAAATTTCCATAAGTATAGTGGAGATTGTTTATTTCCCCTTTCCGCTAACTTTCTGGATAATGAATTATACTTTTGAAAATTCGCAGGAATTATACATAGCAGTTGGTATCAGTGGTGCCATTCAACACACAGCAGGAATGAAGGATAGCAAAATTATTGTAGCTATAAATAAAGATTCGGACGCTCCGATTTTCGAAGTAACTGTTTTAACGTAGCAAATTTCGACTTCCTTGATTGTAAATTTGCATTTATTTATTAAACTTCATCGATAACCGAGCAGTAGTCGTTTAACACAGGATTGCTCCATTTTTTTTGATAATGATGAAACGCGTTTTTAGGAGGAAGTATTTTGTATATTTTACAGCAAGAAAAAAGTTTATGAAAGTAACCACTAAGGTAGAGGTAGATTAAATATGAAGTTTGAGACAACGTTCAGCACAGTGATTATATTCTTTTTTGTAGCGATAAAAGATATATTTTTCAGATCGCAGATATTGGACTCAAAGCTGATCTCCATAAAGTTGTTCCGGAATTAATTGAGGCACTATAATCGAACATTTTTCTACTTAATTTAATTCAACTACCTTCTTGATGCGGTTGTAGCTGTAGCTGCAGTTGTAGGTTCTTGATGAAGGAAATAAGTCTCAGACAATAAGATTTTTCAGTATTGTTAAATATTTCACTTTTATGAAGGAACTGCTCATACATCTCCTGTTTTGAAATGAATTTGGCATATACTGTTGTATTACGATGCACGCGGTTATATGACCTATTGTTGTATTATGGTGCATGCTGTTATATAACCTTTTCCTAATTCGGAATAATTGCGATAAATACGAATGATCTTGAATTTGTGTACAAAACGATGAAATTCAATGATTTCATGCTGCCTTGCCGTGTCAATTTTTGATTAAGATCCATTCGGAACTAAGATGGATAAAACCTCTTGTCAAATGTTCATAAACTCAATAATAGCATCATTTTATACAAATGGTTTTATGCAATTCCGGATAAGGCAAGATATTGAATTATTCTTTCACACAAAAGTCCTTATTTCCATGGACTGGATTGACAATTTTGATTGGGAGAATATATATTAATTTACACTACTCTCTCTAAGGATTACTTAAAAATCTCGCCCCTTTTTTCTTTCATAAATTATTGCAATAAATTTATTTACAAATAAAATGTTTAAGGTTAACAAGAAAGATATTAGTTTTACTATAATATTGTAGTGTTGAAATTTTTGAAGTTGAAGAAAGAGATCATTTTGATAATATTATATATCAGATTTTGAAAGAAATGCATAGAATTGATGAAAAAATTTATGGGAACAATTGAAATTAGGTGAGGTTTGGTTCAATGAGATAGCACATATATCGCCAAAAAAGCGCATGTGGTAATTTCAAAATTGGAATAAGGTATGAGGAATCAAATATGTTAAGATATTTTAACATAATTTCACTACTTCTTTCATTCTCTTAATTCTTTCCTTTTTAGAATTGTGAGTTATAAAAAACAAAAAAAATACTGCAAATTTTAGAGGCAAATTAATATCACATTTTGTTAAATTAAGCTAACAGAGAGAAGGAATTATTATAAAGTTATGTAGTTTGGGGGCACTCAATAATATTCTTCAATAATCCAATTTCTTTAGCCTAGAGCTATTCAGTAGTTCAATATTAATATATTTATGTTTACAAATATAGGATTTCGATCAATGCCGAAATAGAAATACTTCGAACAGTAAACACTATGAATAACTATCGAATATTAGGCGCAAAAGTCCAGGAGACTGTATATTCTCGAGTTTCACACAACAACACATCAGTAGTGTTAAAATGATTGGGAAATCTATACCAGTTGTTTGCTATTTTGATTATGGATAAGATATACTGTAAAATTTATCTATATAATGATAAATCTTCATTGAAAAACGTAGATGATGTTCGACTCAATGCATAGCACTTAAAAAGAATGAAGTAAATGGAATGGTTTTGCTCGAGATCATTCAATAATGCTTGCTTCGGATCTGAAACATTGAATAATACTTCCTTCCGTCCCGAATCATAGTTGTCAGTTGAAAGTAGGAAAATTCTATGACATTCTGCATGTTTACTGCACAACAGTTCGGGAAGGGATACATGTAATCGTAAAATAGTCATGAAGTTAGAGAGTGAATGTGACACCATGGAACTAGTGGATATATCGATGTTTCGTAACACAATAACTGTATTCCTTTACGGTGGTTGTCGATCGAATAGTTGTTCGGGTGTCTTGACCACTCATCCTAGGATGCGCCACACGTCACTGAGTAAAAGCAGGACAACAATGGTGACAAGATAAAAACCATGCAAAACCGGCCCACTCATCTTATTGGTATTTTGCGGACTGCTGGTAACCATAACTCTATTAAGTATGGGACGGCTTGTGGATTATTTTAATATTGTTGGTATGATTATGTTTATAAGATGCTGTCACTTTTGTGATTTACCTGTCGCCACTATGCTCTCTATTTTCATACCACACCTTCCTGTTTATCGCTTTGTTTTAGCTTATTAAAGTATACATTTTTTGAATGAAGTTATGCTGTAATATGCATTTAACTTATTAAGCAAATATTCAGTGGCTTCCAAATTATGGTTAAATGTGCCAAGGATAAGTCAGAAAAGGCATTTCTTCGGAATCTTACTAACCTGTCGAAAAAGAGAACAATCCTAACTGTACAGTACCGTCTATATGCAATTAAGCTTAGATTTAAACCTAAGCTTGGTTATTTCACGGGGTTAATTGAATCAAGAGTTTATCGCAGTGCAAATAATATTGGAAATAGTAGGTCAGTGCTCTCGGAAAGCATATATTATATATATATATATATATGAATGTGTTAACGCAGCGTACCAGAAAAGGTCACCTGCTATTAATTCATGAGCATTATTTCATGACATGATTAAATTATGCAAATTTCTGACCTGAGAAGTGACAATAATGGAGGTCGGTGGTATGGCTGAGGAACACGATTGTCCCAGCACTCTGCAGATGGAAAGCAATTCAGAAAATAATGATGCATCTGTGAATCAAACCGGTAAGGCTTTCTGTTTCATTATGCTTTCAAACATCGTTGATTATCCGATTTTAGAAGAGTAAAAGAAAGTGCAGATTAAATAAGTAAGAAGTAACCTAAGTAAGTGCTAAAATATTCTGCATATATTTTATCATAATGCTTTATATGTACAAGTTCTTGGTTTTTGTCTTTTCTGAGATCTTCAGATTCCAACTATCGAATATAGATCAGAGGGAGAAAAAAACTGCGTAAAAAAAGAATTTCATGCTTGATCTCAATTCTAATATTTTTTTTTAAAAAAATAGATAAAAATGTAGTAATCAGCTCATCAACAATTATAATTCAGAACCAGAAAGAAGATTCATCGATGGAAAATGGTTTTGCGAGGATGGTAACGGTGGTTTTTTGGTGTTTGAGAAGGATGAGTGGATCGCAGCTAATGGCGATGATTTGAAGAAAAAATGGGATACAGCTGGCACGATTGGTGGGATTAATGGTAATCCATATCGTTGTGTTGTTGATGGTATTGCTATGGAGTGGAATCAGATCAGTCAGCAGTGGTTACCAGCAGTCGAAGTACATATTTGAACTTTAACAAAATGCGCTCATGCAAGAATGCTTGCTGGCTTTGTGCGACCTGCAAAAAATGTGAAACTTTCAAATTTGAAACTGTCTTTCGATATTATTGTCCACATTCAATGGCAAACTTTGGACAAATTCGGACAAGCATTTGGAAGGGAAATCAATTTCCTCATTAATCATTAATTCTACATAGGTAAACGAAGACTTTTTGGCCCAGTATCATAGTAATTATGGTATCAAATATGATTTTGGCGAACAAGAAGGGTCAAGCATGGAAGGAAAAAATGAAAAATCTGAAGATCATAAACATGGGAAGCACAAAATGTTCGACAAAAAGGAACAGCAAGGTTGTAAGCTTTTCTTCTCTTTTTTATATTTTCAAATTCAGCATAATAGAATTTTTCAGGTTGGGTAGAACTTGAAGAAGAAAGAAATACGTCAGTCTATGTTTCAAATCTGCCACTCAGTATAACTGAAGAATCATTTATAGTAAGTTCAACATCTGTGTAATATTAGTATTCTGTTGTTCAATTTTTTACGAAATTGTGACTAGGTCTTTACCAGGTTCGTTAGCGAAAATAATTAGTAAGATAAACCTTAAAAACAATCAATAAAACTGATGTTGGAATAATTTAGGAGTTGATGAGTAAGTGCGGTGTAATACAGCGGGATGCAAGGACTAACAAACCAAAAATAAAACTCTACAGGAATGATGATGGCACGTTTAAAGGAGATGGCAGGTGCTGCTATATAAAAGTAAGTGGTGATCTGCTTTGACATTGCTAAAAAAATTTGCAGATAATGCAAATAAATTTTCCAGAGAGAATCAGTCATCATGGCTTTGGATATTCTCGATGGTTGGAATGTGGACGGTAAAATTATTTCGGTCGAAAAAGCAAAGTTCCAAATGAAAGGAGAATTTGATCCATCGAAAAAGAAAAAGAAACTCACAGCAGCCGAGAAGAAGCGTTTCATTGAAAGTCAGGAGAGGTAATCATTATTGATAAATATAGATGTTAGATAAAATAGTGCCGGATTAAGCATGTATAATTCCAGAATCTTTGAGTGGAAACCGGAAAAACCACGAAACTACCGTCCAATCAGTGACTGCACAATTGTTATGAAAAACATGTTCACATTAGAGCAAATGATGGTTTGTTTTTTTTCAAAAGCCAAACAATTTCTTGCATGATATCTCCACTCTTCTCTATGAAGGCTGACTTTTTGTTTTGCAGAGAAATGCAACTTTGTTGCTGGACTTGGAAGAAGAGCTTAGAAAAGTTTGCGAGAGATTTGGAACTGTCAAAAAAGTCGTCGTTCACGATGTAAATTTTCCATAATTTCCCAGTTATCTTATCGACTATAACTGCTTTATGGATGGTTTCGTTTGAGTGGCAAGCTCATCATATATTCATAGCTGTACATAATCTTGAAGATTTATCACTGGAAAACATTATTCGTGCGGTTGACTTGGCCAGATTTAGTTCAGTGGTTTTCGTTCGTGTACTTGCAACTAGCTCGAGTTCCACTTAAGATCAAATAGCAACTTTTATTTCAGAATAATCCAGAAGGTGTAATTTGTGTTACATTCAAAAATGTCGAGCATTCGGATACAGCTGTGCGTTCACTCAATGGTCGCATAGTAGATGGTCGACAAATTTCAGTAACACTGTGGGACGGGAAAACAAAATACACAGTGTAAGATTTGGCGGAAAATTTCTGAAGAAAATTCAGACGAAGGACTTTTTAAAAGCAATGTTTTTGTAGATATTACCCATCCTTTTTTCTTTCTTTCACAAATATTTACATGCAGTTACAAATATTTGTATGCAGACATGCAGTCACATGAAACACCATTAGAAAAAGTTCTTCAATTGTCGACAAAAGCACTTTAAATCTTTTCCGCTTTCATTGTGCCATGAAGTGAGACAAGTAGTTAAATTGCAGTAGTCATATGGCTTATCAGACATCTTGATATCAGTGCACTTATTTTGTCCATCTTATTGTCTTGTTATAGAGTGGAAACTGAAGAACAGAGAGCAGAAAGGATCAAGCAATGGCAGAATTATATTTCCGAGGACGCTGACTAGCAAATGAACGCAATGTTGACAAAGCCGCGAGTAGTTGTCTTCTAGTTTCCCGGTACCCCCAGAGTGAACAGATCACAACATCACTTCGTTTTACACGCTCCAAATTATTCATTTGTGAATGTATTCGCTCTTCTGCCTATAAAAAATGTTATGAATCTCTTTAAAAACTCCGCAAACGTACCATATGAAACAGATGGCCTGGAAAAAAGGTTCAAGGTCGGTTATTCTCTCATGAAATTTGGATTGCTATGAAGATTAAAAATAAGATCTGGATGTCATATATATGAGCTACTGATGTCGTATATGTAGGAAGGTCGAAATAAAAGACAAGAAATGGTTAATTCCAAAACTAGAAAATTGAAGTTGCTGATACGTAAGCGGCAAATTAACATAGCTTTTTATGAATGGCGTTAGAAATGCTGTTCATCGATCAGATTTATTTAATGATTAATATACTGTGAGTTTCTAAGCCTTTCTTAACTGATGTACTAACTGACATACGTTTTCTTCTATAATCCATAAAAAAGATGAACGAGCACCTGCGTGAGTCAGGATTTCGGAATAAGGCGGTTTCTTCTCAAACCATGGTAAATTATGAAGATGACATGTCGGGAAAAATCCCTTTTAAATCTTCCAATAGTCATTTGCATAAATTACGTAAAAATTACCTCTTCGATTGTAATATGGTCTCGTTCCACAATGCGTTCCTTAGCAATAGTTGGAGGTATTATACAGCTCCATACTTGATGAACTATACCATCACTATCCCAGCATGCATCCAGAAGTACTGCCGCATCAACAACAACAAATTCCGCTTTGCTCTTCGCAATGATTTCTTTGACTTCATTCTTTAATGATGGCCAGACGATATCATTCAACATCCTAAGTTTTTCCTGGAAAGTTACAGAACAAAAGAATATGGTTTCCTGAAAATCATTCGACCTGCTCTCCTAGTGCAGATATTAAGCTTCACTATTATTGATGGATTCTAAATAACGTGAAGTTAGTATGACTTTTACACCACTGTGAATGAAGAAAGACCTACTTTATCAGCAAAAACGATCTTCCCTAATTTTTTTCTGTCAACCACACCATCTCGCACAATATGATCGCCAAATGTTGCAGCAATATTGGTTGCTATAACATTCCCTTTCTCGTAAAGTTCATGAGCTAATTTATCACAATTTATTACCTGCAAAATTGGTCCTTAAATAACAAGTTATAAAATAAAACGAGGTAAATCGGAAATAAACCCTATGCAAATATTACATGCACAAGTCTCACTTTTTCGGGAACTGCATTTCAATAAGTCATCTAACCGTAACTGTATATGAAAAGATTTTTTACAATATCCAAAGGTGTTCCAAGTAGATCACAATATTCTAAAATATAAATTGATGTTTATAAGAATGATTCTATATTAATAAAATACATGATTTTTTATCAAAAGGTAATCAGTGTAGCTGGTTACGCGCCAATACATTTATACTAATCTTCGTATTATATACCTCACAACCATTTTCAGAAAGGAAATTTGCTGCATTCGTTTTTCCAGATGCAATACCACCAGTCAAACCAATAACAAATGGTCGAGGAAACTCCTCGAATTTCAGTGGCCTTAAAAACTTTCCCAGTAATGCTCGACGTCGTGTAGATGAACTCAACTTATATTCCCCCATTAATTCATCCTTTCCATCGATTAAGTTTATTTTTATTAGATCAAGGATTGGAAGATTTCTTTCCTGAAATGATCCGTTTATTAAGAAGATGAAATGTTTTTCTTTTTAAGGAAAACGATAGATGAAGATGTAACACACAGTCAGGTAATAATATGTCTTGAAAAAATGAACAAATCGTTTCATATATTACTACCACTAATCCGCAATACAACTAATTTATCGTAAAACACCAATCATTCCGAACAAAGACCGTTTTCTTAATCCTGATAAAAAGTGAAAAGTTACTTTTCTTCTATCGTTGACTGCATGACCACCTTTTTCCGTTTCATTACTGACAATTATTGCTTTCAAATCCGGATCAACAATTGATGGACCATACGGATCCATGATAGGATGTACTTCACAACGAACACTGCAGCTAATATCTTCGACGAATTCTTGCACAGCTTTTGCTCTTTTTTCAAACGGTTCCATTAACTCCCACAATACCTTTTCTGAAGTACTTGGCATAAAATATCTTTCCTTTACCCGGAACAAAATCTTCATGAAAAACATCTTTCCATATATTTTGATTGATGTCATTGCTCTACTGTCGAAAGTTCAGGCTCACGATGGAAAGAAGTCATGAAAAATCATTACAAAATTAAAGTAAAATAAACCACTTCTAAAACTAAGCTTTGCAAATCCAAATTTAACATTTGAATCGCGTTAACTTTGTAGTGCAGCCAAAATCTATTGGTGAAATCTTACTTTTAATCATATCACCGCAAGTAATACCGCATACCACACGTTCCGATGCTGCCATTACAGCTCTCGATAAAAGCATCTTATGACCATTATGCAAGCGATCAAACGTGCCACCAAGCACAACAGCAGTGTATGGTTTGTCAATTGTTCGATTATACTGAATGGTTTTATCATCATTAATAATTGTTTTGAATGTTCTTTCTCTATTATCATCAACAATCACTCGAATATCCAACGTATCGCATATTCTCGATCCTTCTATATAAACCTGCGATAAGACCTAAAATTATTTACAAGTTTTAGCAAATCTCACAGGAAAAAAATCAATTATAGGTAAGTTATATCATTCGAATGATTCTGTATTTTACTAGAATAAAACCTATTCTCTTTTCTATATAATTTTGTAATCTATTTTGTATCTATTTATTTTTTTTTGCACTACACTGTTTACTCTTAAATGGGAAAATTAATAGATTATACAACACATAATTATGAATAATCGCAAAGTAAACACAACATTTGAATAATCATGTATTCCAAAAAAACAATTTAATTTCAAGTCAAACCTCGAGAAGGTCCAATTCAGCAGCTACCCGAACGTAAAGCTTATTAGTAACAGTCTTAGATGCATTAGCCAGAAGGGTACCAATATCTTTCCGAAATTTTGGTTCGATGACCAACAGTCTGACATCATCCATTTGCTTCGAGACAATCACAATGGAAATAGACGATGGAAGAGGAAATAATGCAGTGGAATGGAGGGGGAAAGGAAGGTGTAACAAGGGAGATTGGATGACCCGATAAAGGTAAACTGTTCAGAACTACTTCACACATCAATATTTGTATTTAATCCCTTCTTATCTAACCTGTATCCTTTTCTTATATAATTGGGAGAAAATCTGAAGAATGAATGGATTCAATCAATTAATAAAATTCAAATAATACATTAAACACACTAAAGGATAGTTTTTTTGCTTGATAAATATGAATAGATCTTGGCATATCTGAACAAGTTTTGCATATATTTAAACAGGAGATTTTTGATATTTGAGTTGCTAAAAATAATATTTCTAAAAATCTGAACATGAAAAGGGACATAAAAAATTTTCAATAAGAAACAGTTGCAACGATAATAGCAGAGGACTCATGACGAAATGCATGTCATACAGTTGAAACCTTACTGTCTTATTTAGCTAGAAATAGTATATAATCTCAAGTAATTTACAGCCCATTTTGTAATCTTTAGAACTTAAGTTTATAGCCCTTCGGATACCTAAGCAATGACGTCTTAACGCGTTATTTTATTCTCCTCTTTCGATTCCCCTTTCCCGCAAATAAATCGACAACGCTGTCGGAAGACAATTTTACAAAACCTTGCATTTTTTGGCTGCAATTGAAAACTGAGTTCCCGAAGAAAGCAAAATTTAAATTGGGGCCGTGTCCGTAAAGAGATGCGATATAGGAGTCAATCTTTGTTAAGTAGTGGCGGCGGCTGCATGGTATTTTTGGTATTTAAGTTCGTGGGTAGTTTCCATCTCTTTGTTGTGCAAATACAACAGCAACAATAACAATAGTAGCAACAGAGAAATTGCACTCTTCACAGTTTATTCATTTTTTTCAATAATTCAATCCGAAAAGTACAAGGGTCATAATCGTATTGGAGAAATAAAGTGTCATATTTGGAATCTTATAATGTGGAAGATAAATAAAATAAAGCAATGCCACACTAAATAATATGCAACAAAAAAATATGACAATTTAAAAAACATTTAAAAATATCGAAAAAAGAGAGTGGAAAGAATTGTTGGGTACACGGATACTTCACAATTATAATAGCTATGAATGAGTAGTGTTAGTAGTAACAAGTACCGGTTTATTAAGTAACATTCGATCCGCTCCACGAATCGGTAACTCATGAGAGCGATAGAAACTGATAATACTAGCGATGGAACCGAACGTTGGCCCTTCACCAAGTACCCAGCGATTTTCCCGAAGCTGAATTTGTAGTTATTTGGGTAATCATCAGTGATAAACTAACTGATAAGGGTAGTAAACTAGTTGTGAGGAGCTTCTTACTCTTTTTATTCTATATCTCCTATTCTTTAGAAGAAATTATTTCAATTGAAAGACCACTGTTCACTATTCTATTTGTTTTCATCGAATGAGGGGAACATAAATATTTTCTTTATACTAAAGCATACTGAAATTCATAAGTCAATCTGAGCATTTTCTATTTGGAAGTCATAGCAATCCATAATATCAGAATTAGAATACTTCATCATACTTTCTAGACGATAAATTAATAAGTATTCAATTCTTCTAAAATGAGGCCAGGATAGATTATGTATTGGAAGAATTGTTTAACTTATCGCCTTATATTATCTTTGAAGCTTTTTTAATTTGAAAAAGTTTTTTTAATCCAAAATATGGTTAAGAAAATGAACCTCAAGTTTTATATGTAGTACGCCTTTATTGGCTTTTATCGATAACGCTAGCGTACCGTTGTCTCGAAC